TCCAAGATCCTTCTTATTTGCAGTAGTGTTGAGCAAAGTATTCCCTAATTTGTCAGTTGCATTTGGTTTCTTTGTCCTAGGTGCAGAATTTCACATTTGTCCCAGTTGAATTTCATTCTGTTGTTTTCATCCCAGTGTTCCAACCTCTCAAGATGAGCACTCTTTGAGTCCAATTCTCTAGCCAAGGGTAGATCTACCTTATTGTTGTTCCATGTAGCTCACTTTTAGCTAGTTTGCCATCAGGATATCATGGTGTACTTTGTCATAAGCTTAAGTCAAGATAGATTATGTCCACAACATTCCTACAGTCCATCAGGAAGGTTACACAATCAAAAAAATAAAACCAAGTAAGTTTGGCAGGATTTATTCTTGAAAAATCCATGCTGGCCTCCAGTAATCACGGCATTGTTTTCAGGTGTTTGCAGATTGTTTGCTTTATAATTTGCTCCAGAATTTTCCCAGGGATTGATGTCAAACTGACTGGTCTAGTTCTCAGGTTCCCAGGGGTCAGACTTGATGGCCCGGAAGACCCCTTCTGACTCGCCCTGTTTTTATGTTTCTGTGTTCTTTTCCTTTCTTGAAGATGAGAACCGCATTTACCCTTCTCCAGTCATTTGGCACTTCCCTATCCTCCATGATTTCTCAAAGGTTATAGGTAGTATTTCTGAGAGTTCTTCTGCCAGTTCTTTTATGGTTCTGGGCTGGAGTTCATTGGGCCCTGGAGATTTGACTGATTCAGCCCCATTGGATGATCCTTTGACCAATCTTGAGCTGCCATCCTGCTCCATTAACTTGTACTTCTCCTTTATCAGGAAGGTCAGAGATGTTCTTTTGAGAGAAGACTGAGCCAGAGTAGGAATTGCGCACTTCTGCCTTTTCTCTGTCATTTGTTATCACTTTGCCATCCACACTGAGTAGTTGACCCCAGTTTCTTGCTTTTAACCCTAACCCTAACCCATTGCCATCATAGCCATTCATGTAGCAGGCCACCTAAACCCCTTGGCAGACTCTCTGACCCACTCCCCCTCCATCCCAGAAGTGGGAACTCTGTCTTTCTCATACACTGCGAGAAATGGGGGCACTCCGCGATGGACCTCTTCACCAACCCACAGAATGCCAAATGTGAACACTTCTGCTCCAGAGCAGAACAGGGGACAGCATCCATGGGGGATGCCTTCCTCCTCAAGTGGGGAGATGCCCTATTCTGTGCCTTCACTCTCAGGCAAAATCCAGAGGGACAAGATGGACTGCATCCTGCTTACCCTCCTGGAGGCCGAGGCAGCTGTGGCTCCCTCTCCTTCTCTTCCTCTCCAGACAGACATTCCTCTGCCTTTGTTCTCCAGCACAACCTCCTGCCCCAGGATGGAGGCAGGGTGCTCTACCCTGACACCAGGACTCTCCACCTGACAGCCTGGAGGGTCACAGGGTAGTGGACCCCTATGGCTCACTCCCCCCTGCACTTGCCTCCATCCTCCAGGCCACCCTCAAGCCCTCCACCTGCAGGTCCTACCTAGCAAAATGGAAGGCATTCTCTGCTTCCACTAGAGCCTTGACCCCTGCTCCACCACTTTTGAACACATCCTAGTGTACCTGCAGACCTACTTCACCACAGGCCTCTCCCCCTCCTTCCTGAGGGTCCACCTTGTGGCCATCTCCTACTTTCACCTTCCCATCCAAGGGTCCTCTGTGTTCTCCCACCCACTGACAGTGCTTTCTCAGGGGCCTCCGGAACATCTCCCCCACCTCTGTCTGGACCTGCTCTCCTTCCTGGAGTCTCTCTGTAGTTTTCCAATACCTCACCAAGGAGGACATTTGAACCCATGGCTACATCAGACCTCCGCCTCCTCTCCTGGAAGACTGTGTTCCCCAAAGTCATCACATCTGCCTGCTGTGCCAGCGAGCTAGCCACGCTTCAGATCAATGCTCCCTTCCTCACATTCCACAGGGACAAGGTCATCCTCCACCAGGACCCACTCTTCACTGCTAAAGTGACTTTTCCATTCCATGTCAACCAGGACATTGTCCTCCCCACCTTCTTCTGCAGTCCTGCCACACTGATCGGGGCCATGCTCCATCTCCTCGATGTCTGCAGGGCCCTTGCCTTTTGCAAAACCCGAATGGAGTCACTGCGCCACTGATTGTCTGTTCAGATGCTATAAAGGCCACAAGGCAGGGGAGCCTGTTTCAAGCCAAAGGCTGTCAAAGTGAATGTCCAGCACCATTATCCTGGCCTATGAAATGGCAAAGATTCCTCTCCTGCATGCCCACTCATGCCCACGCTGCCGATAAAGGCATGTGGTTGGAACGCAAGGGTACTGAGGCAGAAGAGGCAACGGATAGGAGTGACATGAAGGTACTATACCATATTGTTCATGATCTAACCAATGTGGGAGGCAGTCTTGATGTTCCCATTAAAAACAAGAATAGGAAACTTTTGCTCACAATGGAAGAACAAGAGGCAAGATGGGTGGAACATTTCAAAGAAACCTTGCATCAGCCAACTGCTAGTATCCTAGTGGTTTGCTGATTCAAGAGAGCATCCCTGGACCCAGAGATAGCCACCAATTATAGACCGGTGGCTAATATCCTGTTCTTGGGCAAGGTGCTCGAGCAGGTGGTGGCCAGACTACTACAGGAATTCATGGAGGAAATGGACCATCTCAACCCATTTCAGTCTGGCTTCAGGCCCAGCTATGGAATGGAAACTGCCTTGGTCACCCTGTACGATGACCTGTGCAGGGAGAGGGACAGGGGGAGTGCGTCCCTGTTGGTTCTCCTGGACCTCTCGGCAGCTTTCGGTACCATTAACCATGGTATCTTTCTGGATAGGCTGGCTGGGTTAGGAGTTGGAGGCACTGCTTTGCGGTGGTTCCACTCCTACCTGGCTGGCCGATTCCAGAAGGTGGTGCTGCGGGATTGTGGCTCTGCAACATGGCAACTTTGCCATGGAGTTCAGCAGGGTTCCGTTTTATCCCCCATGCTTTTCAACATCTACATGAAACTGCTGGGAGAGGTCATCTGGAGCTTTGGGCTGTGAAGTCACCAGTACTGTGACTGGGCTGTGGAGTCACCACCACTGATGACACCCAGCTCTATCTCTCTTTTACATCTAATCCAGGTGAGGCAGTGGTTGTCCTTAGCCGGTGCCTGGCCAAGGTAATAGGTTGGATGAGGGCCAGTAAATTGAGTCTCAATCCAGATAAGACAGAGGTCCTGTTGGTAGGTTGGTTGGTAGGTTCAGCCCTACAGGTGAATGACATCTGCCCTGTTCTGGACGGGATTGCACTCCCCCTAAAGGACAGGGTGTGCAGTTTGGGAGTGCTCCTCAATCCGGAGCTGTCCCTGGAATCCAAGGTGGCAGCAGTGGCAAGAAGTGCTTTTTTCCAGTTTCGGCTGATACACCAACTGCGCCCTTACCTGGATGAGCAATGCCTTCCAACAGTGACCCACGCTATGGCAACTTCCCATAGCTACAACTGGATTATTGTAACGTGCTCTACATGGGGCTGCCCTTGAAGATGGTCCAAATACTTCAGTTGATTCAGAATAGAGCTGCCAGGATATTGACGGGGACTGGCAGTTATTCACACATAATGTTGGTCCTCTACTGTCTACACTGGCTACCGATTGAAGTCTGGTGATGACCTGTAAAAACCCTTAACGGCTTGGGTCCTGAATACCTGAAGGAGCACCTTTTTCCCCATGTGACCTCCCGCCCCTTGAGATCTGAGTCAGAGGCCCTCCTCCAGAAGCCGTCCTTGAAAGCGATCAAGAGGGTGACTACCCAGAGGAGGGCCTTCTCTGCAGTGGCACCCTGATTGTGGATCTTGCTCCCCAGACAGATCCACCTGGCACCAACACTTCTTTCCTTTTGGCGTCAGGTGAAAATGTTTTTATGCTCCCAGTATTTTAATCATTAGCTTGTTTTAGTTAGTGGGTTTATATTTTAACATCGGATGCTGGGCAACTGTCATTTTTATTTCTATTTTTAGAATTAATTTGTTGTAAACTGTCTTGTGACATCTAAGTATGGTATGGTATAGAAAAGTTTTATTTATTTTTATTTTTATTTATTTATTTATTAAAACATTTCTATGCCGCCCCTTGTCAAGGCCTCGGGGCGGCTTACAACATTGAATACAAAATACATTAAAACAATGACAATTGTTTTAAATAAATAAATAGTATGACCTATGATTTTAGTAAAGCTGATTCTATTGCATCACTGGCATTGAACTGGGCATGATTATCACCAATGAAATTCAACATGCAATTAGTGCATTAAAGCTGTTGGCCTTGACCAGATCCTGGCGGAACTCTTGAAAGCTGGTGGAGATTATCTGGTAATGGAACTGACCAGGTTGTTAAACATAGGACCCACCAGAGGGAAAGCAGAGGCAGGGAAGACTGTGAGAAACTTGGCATCAGACATTAAAAGATGACTTACAGGCAGTGGACATTAAATGGGAAGATGCCAAAGACACTGCCATGGATAGGATTCATTGGCAGAAGTTTGCTGCCCTATGCACTTTGTGGGAAAGGAAATGATGAAGATGATGATGATGATGATGATGAATTTTGTACAGCAGGCACCAGTTATTGTGCCACGTTCCATGCCTTTTCTAACTAAAGACTTACGTTTCTCTGTGACAGACATTTTAATTAGCTACTGGTAAGAGTTAGTATGCACCTTGAAGACTACATCTTCAAGAAGATTTCTAAAACATTACTAAAACTTTTCATGAAAAGTAAAATGGTTGTTCCTTTAATTACTTGCCACAATAACCACAGTCTTGTTGACAAACTCATGATTCACTAAAATCAAGAATAATTGAATTTTTGTTTTGGCATTAAAAGAATATTGTGAAGCCCAGATCAGATTGTGTGAAGATTTTGCTTTTTTAGAAGATAATGATAATGTTATCTCTCTGTTGCCTATCAATATGTCATTCTTGTAGCAGCACTATTAAGTGTGGGGTTTTTTTCTGTTTTGCTTTCAGATTTCTGGAATGTGCTACACCAGTAGTGTGTTAAAAGTGTACAATGTACTTTGTGTACCCAGTGGTGTAGCAAGAATATTTGCTTGGACTCTTGAACCAATTTTCTCATCTCCAGAACCATCCAGTGAAATAAGAGTTGGAATGGGAGCAACTGTGGATATACAGAGAGAACAGAGAATGGAATTACTGGATCGGCAAATTTTGATGTCCCAATTTGCCCAGATAAGGCGGCAAAGACAGCAGCAGGTCAGGAAAACTTTTTTTGTGCATATACCTTATTTGTAGTTTTCTATTGTTGTAATTTTGTTTTACATCGGCCTAGGGATGCTGATGAGTAATCAAGAATGTTTTTAGAAGAACCTGCCACTACTTTTTATTTCCCTTGTTCTAAAGCTTCCCAGAAATTTGCCTTGGGCAAGCAAAAGACATGATGGTGGTTTCAAGCATTTGCAATACCTTGGCTAAATGTATTTGCTCCTAGGGTCTGGATTGAGATTACAGGTTCCATCATCCTTAGCAGCAAATATATGCATGCTCTGTACCTATTAAGGAAAGGCTGGAGAGAACCATTTATGAGAAATAACAGTTCTAGCAACAGGTAGAAACTCAGAGCTATGTTTGCATCGTAAATGCTTAATTCACTTTTCCCGCTCCAGATCTGGCTCCAGCTCTGGCCCTGTATTGAATATACAGCCTGTGGCCCAGGGACACATGTGACCCACAAGGCCTGTACAATCTCTCCACTGACTCTCCACTCCTTTCCCTGGAGATTGCTCTTTCCATGTTACTGCTAGCAGTGAGGAAAGATTAATTTATATCAGGATATCTGGGATGTCTGGATGTGCTTTACATATGAGTGCATGTGTGTGTGTGCTTTACATATGTATGCATGTCTGTGAACTTGCCTTGAATCAAAATAACATGTGACCTTTGAGCTCAAAAAGGTTGTATACCCCTCGCATACATCTTTTTAAATCAATGGTGGGCAACATGTGGCCCTAGTACATTTCCTGGCATGCCTCAGGTGACCCCAACTTAAAATAAAAACAGTACCCAAACCTGCATCAGTAGCAGCTATGGAACACCAAAATGGCCACCTTTTTTGTTAAATTTGCTTGGAATTGGTTGGAAGCTAAATTTGGCTCTTGTAGCATCCTTTAGTGGCTACAGAATGCCAAAGGGATTACATTTATCTTAGAAACATAGAAACAGAGTGAGTCAGAAAGGGTCTCCTGGGCCATCTAGTCTGACCTCCGGCACCAGCTGGCTCCGCTCACGACATGCCCACCATGTGCATGTCCAGCCTATCCTTGAACCCCCGCACCGATGGGGCCTCAACAACCTCCCATGGAAGCCCATTCCACACCCTCAGGGTCCTAACTGTCAGGAAATGCTTCCTGGCATCCAAATGGAACCTTGGCTCCCTGAGCTTTGCTCCATTGGAGCGTGTCCTGCCTTCCTCTGCAGGCGAGAATAGGTCTCTACCCATCTCCATGTGACACCCCCTCACATACCCGTATGTCGCCAACATACCCCCTCTGAGTCTCCTCTTCTCCAGGCTGAAGAGACCTAGTTCCCTCAGTCTCGCCTCATACAGCATTCCCTGCAAACCGGCCACCAACCTTGTGGCCCTACGCTGCACTGACTCCAACCTGACTATATCCTTTCTGTAATGGGGGCCCCAAAACTGAACACAATACTCCAGTTGCGGGCGCACCAGAATCGTGTACAGTGGTAGTAATACCTCGCTTGATTTAGAAGCCACACTTCTGGCTATGCAACCAAGGGTGGCCTTCGCCCTCTTGACCACCGCATCACACTGCTGACTCATGTTTAGCCTGCAGTCAACCAATACCCCGAAGTCCCTTTCACAAGTGCTGCTCTCCAGCCACTTGTCAACTAACCTGTACTTACGACAGCTATTCCTATGCCCCAAGTGCAAGACCTTGCACTTATCCACATTGAACGTCATCCTGTTGTCTCCTGCCCACTTCCGTAGTCTGTCCAGATCCTTTTGGATCTGGAGTACCTGCTCCACAGTTGTGGCCACTGCTTCAGTTTTAGTGTTGTCTGCGAATTTGACCAGCAGACTGTTCACCCCTTCTTCCATGTCATTAATGAAAAGATTAAACAGGATTGGCCCCAGGACAGAGCCCTGGGGGAACCCACTTGTCACTGGCCGCCATCCCAATGATTCCCCGCTAATGGTTACCTTCTGCTTTCAGTCCGTCAACCATGCCCTAATCTACCGGACAGTGCTTTGGTGTATCCCAAAACTCCTCAGTTTCTCCACCAGGATATCATGGGCCACTCTGTCAAAGGCCTTGCTGAAATCCAGGTATACCACATCCACTGCATCCCCTCCATCTAGCCATTTCAAAACCTTGTCATAGAATTCCACAAGGTTTGTCTGGCAGGACCTGTTTTAGCGGAAGCCGTGTTGTGTGGCTGTCAGCCTCCCTTCCCTATCTAGCATCACTAGATCTCTCTATTATGAGCCTTTCCATTGTTTTTCCTACAATGTATGTAAGGCTAACCTGTCCATAATTCCCCATGTCCTTTCTACTACTCTTTTTGAAAATTGGGACCACTGATGCCACCCTCCAGTCCTCTGGAACTTCACCTGTTCTCCACGAGGCCAAGAGGCCAGAGCCAAAAGGGCTGGCAGTGGCTGAGCGCGGCCTTATCAGTCCCTCAGGCCGGTGGCCCCGCCTGCCCGCTTCCTCCTGGCCCCTCTAGCCTCTCTGGCCCCGCCCCCTTCCTCTCCGCTGCTCCTGGCCCTCTGCTCCCCTGCCCAGCTCCTGCCTTGCCTTCGCCAGTCCCCTGGCCACTCAGCACTCTCTCCCAGCCTGTGCCTCTGCTGCTCTGCCAAGAGGCCAGAGCCAAAAGGAAACAAGCTAAATTTAACCTTGTTGGTCCGAACTGCTACAGAGAAGACTGCAGACTCATGTGGGGCTCTGGGGAATGAAAATAGTCCCAAAGTTGAACAACCTGCTCTGTGTATAGGTAGGGCTAGGCTATGAAATTGACTCTGCAAACCTTGGATCCAAAATTGCAGGAGGTAGGGTATGAAATTGGGTGGGGTGATTTCGGGGGGCAAAACATTTTATTTACTTACAGCTTTTATATACCATTCATTCAGTGAAAAAACTCTTTGAATGGTGTACAGCAAGTATAAAAACATAAAGACATAATATAAATAATTTTGATGTTAATAAGCCATTGACAATGTCCATCAAAATTCAAACATCATGAATGAATGAATGAATGAATGAATGAATGAATAATACGTATCACCAAAATTACAGTTATTCCATGGTAATACCAATGACATTGTGAATAAAAACCAGTATAAAATCAATCATATTTAACCATTAAAATACCAGGAAAATAAAAAGGTTTTGATCTGCTGCTGAAATGTATAAAGAGTTGGCTCCAGAAACACCTCCCTGAGGAACTGAATCCACAGTTGGGGTGCCACAACCAAGAAGGCCCTTCATTTCATTGCCACCTTCCTTGCTTCTGTTAAAGGGAGCTCACAGAGAAGAACCTCTATAGATTATCTTAGGGTCCAGGTCGGTGTATACGGAAGTAGACATTCCTTCAGATATCCAGGCCCTAAGCTGTTTAGGGCTTTATATGTCAATGTAAGCACCTTAAAGCGGGCCTGGACTTCAACTGGTAACCAGTGATGATGATAAAGGACAGGGCTTATGTGTTGTCAGTCTATTCTTGTCAGCAGACAAGTTGCCCTATTTTGCACCAATTGAAGTTTCCAGACCATTTTCAAGGTCAGCCCCAAACACGAGGTTACCTGAGCATGAATCACTGTTGTTAGGTTCTGCCTATCCAGATAGGGATGTAGTTGGTATATCATCCAAAGTTGATGGAAGGTGCTCCTGGCCAAAGATGCCACCTAGAACTCCAGGAGCAGGAGCAGCCCCAAGCTCCACATTCTGTTGTTTAGGAAAAGTGCAGTGCTGTCCAGGACTGTGTGCCTGTTCTCTCCCTGAACTGAGGTACCACCTACCAATAGCAACTCCAACTTCTCTAGATGAAGCTTCAGTTTGTTAGCCTTCATCCAGTTCATCACCCGTCTCAGACACTGGTTTAGAGTCATCACTGCCTCACCTGGATTAGATGTAAAAGAGAAGTAAACTGAGTGTCATTAGCATATTGATCACACTTCAGTCCAAACTTCTGGAAGACCTCTCACATTGGTTTCATGTTGATGTTAAACCACATGGGGGATAAGATGGAACCCTGCAGCACTCCATGACAGAACTGCCATGGGGCTGAGGTACTATGCCCTAGGTCTACCTTCTCAAACCAGCTGGTCAGGTAGGAACAGAATCACTGCAAAGCAGTACCTCTGACTCCCAATTCAGCCAGCCTATCCAGAAGGATATAATGGTCAATGGTATCGAAAGCCACTAAAAGGTCCAGGAGAAACAACAGGGATGCATTCCCCATCTTTCTCCTGGCAAAGATTATTCCACAGTGTGACTAAGGCAGTTTCTACCCCATCCAGATGGTCTGTTTCCTCTAAGAGTGCCTGGATTCTACTTGATTCTTCTTTGGGCCCACATGTAAAAGGCCACGAACTACTCAGAATAGCTTTGCCAGACAGGACAAAGAGAACATAATGCTGGAGGAGAAGAATGCTTTCTTTGCCGCTTTTACCACCACTTGATAATAAGTTCTTGGCTGTGTTTGGCTCAAATTTTCCTCCACCTGTGCTCTAGCTATCTTTCTAATTTTGTGAACATTTTAGTGGAAGTTACCTTTTGGTGCAGCAGCTTGGCAGCAGAACTCAGTGGCTGCCCTCTGGTGAATACATTTCTCCCACTTCCCCCTCCCCCAAAAAACAATCTGTAATGAATCCATACCATAATGTAGCATCTTTAATGGATCATTGTGGGAGAAGGGAATCATAGTCTCTCAGAAGCAGACTTGTACTGTTGCTAATTGCAGCAGTTAGCAAGAATGACTCCAAACCTTTTTTAAATTTTAACAGGAAAAGGTTGAGTAACTGTTGCACTAAACAGCAAGCCACTGATTTAAATCCCCTCCATTCTTCTAAATTCTGAATTTGAAGAAAGCATTTTCCTTCAGCCTTGTAAGCCAGTTTTCAGTATTTCATCCTGTTCCTCTCATATTCCATCCTATATTAGGACTGAGTTAAACATTACATGGCAGACTCAGGACTCATTCAAACAACTGCAGGGTGGTAGGAAGGAGATAGT